GCGGGTGCACGAGTGACGCCATAAATTATGCGCAGTAAGGATACGCGATGCAAATGTGAGAAATGACCTTAAGCTTGATCGAGACTTGCTGATAACTGACGTTGTGAATGAATATGATGTGCCTCAGTATCATGCCGAGGTTTAAAATTCAGGATAAAGTCAAACTTCACTTTACTAGCTGACAACTCCATAAAACACGGACAACTCTATTTTACAGACAGTTCAAACCACTATTCATATATGATCTCTACTATTACAGAACACGTTCTAAAAACAAACGAGATGTTCTAAAATACAATTTCTTGCAAGAATTTGGCTATTCGGCGTTAATTTTGCCATAAAGAAATTACTAATCTGGCACAAAATGACGCTTTGCCGTGGACCATTATTTTGACAGACTGGTAAAAAGTTTGCGCGCTTTTGCCTTAACGGCATAAATATTGCCAAACGAAGACGAAATGTCAGCTGGTAAAAATGTAGCCAAACCCTAAGCAATTTGACAGAAGCGATGCTATAAGAAAAATTATGGCACAAATTTACTAAAACACTAATACATTTAGCCAAACCTGTTGGTAAAAATCAAAAGTGGCAAGAACTCATTATTATTATTGCTGATTATTTGCCAAAAAATGTCTGGTACGTGAATACCGAAAATGTCGATATATTTGCAAAGTTAGGAAAGAATACATAGGGTACAAAGATTTGACGGTTTCTTACGAAACTTAGCCAAAAATTTTCTTGATTATCAAAGCCCCAGAGCGTGTAAGGCTTTTTTGCTGTTTCAAGTAATATATCAGTTCGAAAGACCGTGTTTGACCACATTTGCAAACACCAAGAAGAGAGTTAAGACGCGTAGCGGAGTATTTTTGACGAACTTCGAGGTCTGCGAATCCACTCGGCTATCGCCTCGTGGATCCACATCTACCTTGACATTGTTATGACGAAATTCATAATCAATAACAGGACTGACTTACTTGACTTAAACACTTTCACCCCTTGGGGGTCATAGGTCCCTAAGGAAGTCTCTCCACCCCTCTTTGTCTTGTGACGGTTTTTTTAGCTGTTGCCAGTTCAAGTGAAGCCTGCCCTCTCTCATCTCCCTCTGCACTCATTGACCGTCGCCAGCTGTTCCTTGGCCTCCCTCTCTTCCGCTTCCCCTGTGGGTTCCATCTCAAGGCCTACTTGATAGTGTTGGTATTTGGATTGCGCAAAGTGTGACCCAGCCATCCCCAGCGTCTTCTCTTGATCTTCAATCCCATTTTCTCTTGTCCTGTTGTTTGCCATAGGTCTTCGTTTGCGATGGTATCTGGCCAATAAACTCTTGGAATTGTTCGGAGACACTTATTTTCGAAAGTCTGGGTCTTTCTTTGGTTGTTCTCCAGGTTTCAGAACCACATAAGAGTATTGATTTGACACTTGTGTTGAAGATACGAAGCTTAGTCTTTCTGCCTAACAGTTTAGACCTCCATACTGGACTTAGACAGAAGAAAGCTGTCCTTGCCTTTCCTAGTCTTCCTGGACAACAGGACAGACGCATGAAAAACTGACGTCAATTTGTTAAATCGCAGGCAATTCCCAGGTGAACTTACCTATATCAACTAAAAGTTTATAATTTTTACCTAAATTAATTTTGACTTTGTTTTGTAGATTGTTTCCCTCAAGCAGGTTTGAGCTGTCGTCTTGGCCAGGCGAAAAATAAGGACCGCGTGTTTGCCTTCCAGGATGAAGTTTGAGACAATCGATGAACGCTTTAGGCTCGATTTCCGCCGCTCTCTCGTGAACAGCGGTTGGTAATCGAGCGTCTAATCTCTTCCGAGTTGCTATTCACCAGAAGGGGCTTCTAAGCTGCGCTATCAGCAATATAGGGACGTTACAGAAAAAATAATATCAGCATAACCCACTGACCGACTCTCAGGGAAACGCGCAATCTGATTGGCTACACATGAGCGCTTTAAAAATGGCATCAACTTCCCTTTTTCTTGAAATTTCTGAAATGAAAATATAGTGGAAACCCGCCTTGGGGTCACATTTTTTTATCCCAGCGAAACACCCATACAACACAGCTACTTACACTAATTACAATACCACTATTTACGCTACACTACACTACTTACAATATAAAACATTACATGTTGTTGGGACTATTACACTGAATTAATATTTTCTCTTTTTTCATTTAAGTTATGCCGGCAGTTATAATTACTCTCCGTCGAAGTTATTTCACATCAGTTATACACGGTAATATGGTATTTTTAAATTTGTCGACAAAAAAAGAGAGTTCTGTCAATTAGACGGACGTGTTGTCTAATACAGCAGGGGATAAATTGACTTGAAAACTTCCTGTGTACTCAGACTTTATGTCCAGAGTCAACTACTAACTAAACACTCACAGGAGAAATTACTTTCCAAAGTACAAACTGAATATATAAGCAAGTAAAAACTAATGATATAATGTCCCGACGTTTCGGCGTCATCATGACGCCATTATCCATGAATGAATATATTAGAGCGAGTTCAAAAGAGGTAAGACCTGTAGATTTACATAAATGCAGTTAAGTTAGACAAGTGGAGCAACTTTTCAAAAGATCAAAAATTTAAACAACGTAATTTACTGATAATCTCGTAAGAATGATAAATTTTTATTTTAAAAATTCCTCTTTTCCTACTGTTTCGAAGACACTGAAAATGGTTATTAAGCGGGCTGTTATTTTCATCGGTGGAAATTTTTTTCGCATCTGCTTAATAAACAATTATTCACCGAAGTGGAGGTGAATAATACTTTGCTATTTATTACCTCCGGGTTAACCAATCAAAACGAGAGAAAAGCCTTATTCAGTTGTGTGGGAGTACTAAAACATGCCAAAACTCAAAAAGGTTTCTGCACGTACAGGGCGTTGTATTATTTAATAGTAATTTCCACTCTATTTCGGTTGCAAATGACGTGTTTGAAATAAACAGTTTTTCCACCTGCCTTTTTTCTTAAAGTGGTTGTTTAACGTTAATAACGCTTAAGCTTTTATACATGCACCGTATAGTATCACAAGTTACGAAAATATAACCCTACAATTTTAGTTGGAGGCAGCGTGGCCGAGGCAGCGTGGCCGAGTGGAGGCGGCGTGGCCGAGTGGTTAGGGCGCCGGACTTGAAATCCGGAGGTCGCGGGTTCAAGTCCCGCTCTGACCACTTAGCTGGAGTTGTTTCTCGGTAGACCCTAATTCAACTCCTCGGTCATGCTTGTAAATAGCCAACTGACCTGCCTCCCGCCGCCGGGTTGGGATTTTCAAGCCTATTACGTTTGGTTGATACATTTCTTTCTCTCATTTAAAGTGGCATGCCTGTGAACCAGCTAGTAGTAGCTAAGCGCATTGACCACTATAAACAACAACATTTGAACATTTGAACATTTTGAACATTTGAACAGTTTGTACTTTAAATTTCTAACCTGCAATGTATTACATAAACTTCCTCCAGTACAAAGCACAAAACTATATTTTGTCAAAGCAGCGTGAAGAAACAACTTTTAATACTGCAATATCAATTTGAAGCGTTACCGTTGTAAGGAAAAATACATGTTTAAACCGGCTCTAATGACTGCTGAACTAACTCGATACACAGCAAAGCGCTTCTCTGATTGTCTCTTTTACTGCTTGCTTCATTTCGCTGATCTTCCAGCAGTAAAGAATCGGGTTTAACGATGAATTCAGGTAAATCAAAGTCGATGCAGCATCCAAAATGAGAGAACTGGATGGAGATGTATTACTCTCATCTACTAAAGCTGGCACTATGGGAAATGGTAGATAACAAGCAACTAATGTACACTGCACCCACAGTGCACTAGACACTGCCTTTCTGTATCGCTCTATGTTCAGTGGAACAGGTTGGCCTGGTTGTTCGTGTTGGACATGGCCCTGTACCTGAGTTTGATGGTGACGGAGTTTAAGGAAAATCTTTGTGTATGAGACGATTGACGTTACAAGACATAAAGGAATAAGTATAAAGCCATACCAAATAGGTATAAGGCGATTTAAAAGGTACAACATCGAAGATACAGTGGACATAATCCAAAAGAGTACTACAATCACAAATGTTCGCTTTAAAGTTACAACTTGTCTGTATGTCAGCCCTAACAAGAGGGCGAGAAGTCTGTCCACGCTTATTGCACTCGCTGTAAGCAAAGATACTGAAGAAAAAATGTAGCCCGCAAGAACACTAGACACAACTGTGTAGTGACAAAGTTTCCATTGTTCATGAGTCAGAGACATCCAATAGACAATACTGAGAGGCTCTGTAATAAGACCAACACAGAGATCAGTTGTGGCCAGACATCTAAACAAGAGTTTGGACGGCGGATGTAGGGAAGACTCCTTGCGAAGGGCAACGAGGATCAGAATATTGCCAAGAACTGCAGTAATGGACAGAAAAATGTTGAACACTGAAAGATATGCCAACTCTTTATTTATTCCACTTGCCCAAGCGGACGAACATCGAAGTTGTAGAACTGCTTGAGTTTGCTTTCCGCCGCCAGTAAAATTCATTATTCTGCAACGCGAGGATCTGCAGTTTTAACAACAGATGTTTCTTCAGCATTCACACAGGATCAAATAAGCTTTAGCTTCGAGGCCTGAATTTAAATACCTACTTAGTCACTCCAATGAAGTTTTTCTGCAAATTGTCTCTGAAATTATTCAGAACGGGAAAACTACATATTTAAAGTTAAGAAAAAGCAGATGACGAATGCCGGCTGTTGTGCACGTTACAAATCATTATACCGAATTCCCTAACCTAGAATAACTGAAAGTTATTTCTTGGAAATATGATCAAAAATCTCGGCGAAATTAAACACTATTAGGAATTATCGGTTTTAGGTTTTTCAGTTGATAAGAGACGTGCTGATAACTGACGACGAAACTGAATATTACGTGCCTCGGCTTCAAGTTGAAGCTTAAATTTTAATTCAACCGTCTCTTTATACGGACAACTTCATAATACGGACTTCAGCTTCGTGCTCTGAATTCAAATACCTACTGAATTGTTGGCTTAACATTAGAAGCTAAGTTAGCTTCAAGTAGGCACTTGACTGAAGAGCTCTTCGGAAAATCTTAAGTCGCACTTTAGAAAAGTTGGCTTCACACTGATGACAAAGTATATTACTTCAAGCAAAAGCTTTAAACTTTTTTTTTGCGGTGAAATCGTCATGCATATCACAAATGCGATTGTTCGGCAGCAAAATAGTGAAACCTTCGCAACGGAAGAGTTTTTGTCGTTTCCTATTTAAAGTGCTTTTTGAACCTTAGAAGAAATACATATTGGTACTCTGTTGTTAAGGAGTGCATAGCACAAGCAGCATCTTCTGTATTTCTCTAGAATGGCTCAACAGCGCGTATGGCTTAAGCTAACAGAGACATGAGCTAACAGAGACATGTTGTTTGAGGAAAATGCATTTCCTTGAGACTCGTCCAATGTTCAACGGTGAGTTGTTCGAGTGCAAAGAAATTACCTGTATGACCTGATTGAAACTTGAAACAGTAGCCTGTTTGCAATTTGCAGAACTGACGGCATTTGGCGTCGGATGATGTGAAAAGCGATGGTTTAGGCGGCTATCTCTGAAAATGAAATTCAAATTCAGTTTAACCATTTGTATCGACTTTTCTTACCTTTCTATGTATGCTCATCTAAAAGAATGTTCCATGGAGTCCACCAATTTCTAACCATCCATTTTGAATTTTTCGATGGATCTCAGCTGGCAAGTTGTTTATCGGTCCGTTCATCAGAATCGCTGCACATCGCGTACAGTTGACTTCCATTTCATTTTGTCAAGTGTGTTCTCAAGTGTGGTGTAGACCATACTTGGCGGCGCACTTCGGCTGGCTTCCTTGAACTACGAACATTTCCATGGTCACTAAGTAAAGTCCAAGTAAGTACATTTTACCCCTTCACACTCAAAGTAGGTTCCAAGTGCACTTAGATTACACTCACAAGATCTAGTGTGAAGCCAAGAAATTAACACCTGCGTAGAACTATCTTTTATCTTCCCCGGTATAAACTAAATATGTCAAGTTTTACTGCAAACTGTTACCTTCTAAATTAATCAGAACGGGAAAAAATGAATATTTTAAGACAAATCGGGCGATACGCACCGGCGTGTTAAGCCCAATACACACGAAGGGTTTTTCTCCTGGGTTTTGCTCCAGGGGCACGCTCCGGGAGCAAAGCTCCTCCGTGTGTATCAACGATTTCATAATGCTCCACAACATTAAACTGGTTAAATATTTGGGAGCAAGATCCCGGGGCAAATTGAACAAACTTGAAAGCGCTCCCTKGTGTTGTACCATAATATGGAGCAAGCTCCCACACTATGTTCCTCAGTGTGTTCTAGTCGTGCAAATTGACCTTGGAGCATGCTCCTGGAGCAAAACCCCTCGTGTTAATCGGCCTTTATGTACGGTTTAGATACTTGGAAAGGTTTAAATCATTAAAACCTACCCTAACCTAGAATAACTGTAGGTTATTTCTTCAATACGAGTAATAACCTCGGCTGAACTAAAAAAGTATTAGAATTAGGTTTTGAATTAAAGATAAAGTCAAACTACTTTTACGTACAACTCCACCAAACACGGACACCTCTATTTTACAGACAGTTGAAACCGCGATTCATATATATCTCTGCCATTATAATACAGATACCTCGTTAAAACGGACAATAGACCTGTAAAACAGGAAGTTTGAAGAAGAAAAGAGTTTCCCATTTAAGTAGAAACACTTAAAAAAGAGTAGATTATATCATTTCGGGGTTTAAATATCAAATAGACAGACATCACGCTCAAAACGTCAACATTTCCAGGTTAACTTACCTATATCAACTACAAGAATATAATGATTTACTAAACTTGGGAAACATTTTTATACCCTCAGTTGTTCTCACTCAAAAATACTGGGCAGTAAGACCAAACCGAACAGAAGATTAAGCTAATACAGTTATGGGCGAAGGCGCTAAGCTGAATTCATCTAAATATCAAATTTCATCAAAAATCCCTTGATACATAATTTGGCTCAGAAACGTGTATACAATAACTTCATGTAAAGGAGAGAAAATTGTTAAACGCTGCGAAATATCTAAGCTATTCATGTATTCCACTGCCCGGGCGGCCGAACATTGAGATTGTTAAAACGTTTCGGTTTGCTTTTCCCAAGCAGTCAAGTTTGTTATTGTCATTATTCTGCAGTGCGCGGATCTGTAGTTTTAACGACAGATGTTTCATCAGAATCCACACGGGATCAAATAAGCTTCAGCTTCGTGCGCTGAATTTTAATCGCTACTTTATGACTCCAAATATAGTATTAATGAAGTGAAGTGACAGACTTTATTTAATATCTGTGGAAAGCTGTCCTTGACTTTACCAAGCATTTCAAATTGTACAGCAAATTATGTCCGACCATAATTAGGGCCTGTTTATGACGGGAGGGTGCCCCTTCTAATCGGGATACCCGGCTAGAAGGGTTGACACATAGCCCGCATTTACATGCAACTCACCTAACCGGGAAAGTGAGAAGGTTGCGTGGGCTATCTTTTGAGCGGCGGCTAAGAACAACAAACAAAATGGCCGACCAAAGAAGAAACTTTTTGACATCTCATTTCAGCTTCCTGCAAGGGCACGGGCCTGTTCTCTGCCTGAGACTCATCTATTACATTGATCTCTTCAGATTGACTGTCATTCTGTTCGGGAGATAACACTGGCATACGGTAACTACGAAAAAAATTCACCTCGCGCCTCCATGTTTTCGCGGTTTATCTCACCTCGGCTAGCCGACATAGCCCGGCACGAACCGTTTACAGAGTAAAAAGCTATCCCACCTAGCCGGGTGCCCCGGGCAAGTAGACAGGGTGCCCCGGGTAGGCAGGCTATGTAAACGCTTCAATGTGCTTTCTAAAGAAATGTATGAGAAGTTAGCAATCCTAGGGTAGCTCGGTTAGCCGGGTAGCCCGGTACAACAAATATCGAACAAATTTACAACCTGAATATACAACTTGAATAGTAAGGAGAGCAAGAGAGTAAAAATTTCACGGAATTTTACTATTGATAATTTCGTACGAAGCATAAACTTCGTAAAACAAAAAGAGTGCACGTTTTCCTACCATTTTGAAGACACAGACACTGCTTAATTATTAGGCAGGCCGTTATATTCATAAATTTATTAAATTCATAAATATATCAAAATACAGAAACTATTTGTAAATTTCTCCGAATCTGCTTAAAACTGTAGTCAAAAAGGGTTCTGAGACTGAAACGTTGTATTGAAGCAATCTTGAGAAATTTCTATTCTGTGAAGTTATAAATGATGGTTTTCAAATAAACCATTTGACATTTTCCCAAAGCTATTCCAAAGAAATACACTGTTACTATCTAAACCTTGTGAGTGAAAATTGAGTTACATGTACTTCCATGAAATATCTTTCTTGCTGTCTTGAATTTTTAACTTTACTTTCTTTATAGTTTACTAACAATCAATCAATCAATCAATCAATCAATCAATCAATCAATCAATCAATCAATCTATATATTTAACGTGGTCGGTACGCTTAGCTAAAAAGCTAGTTTACAGGTACGCCACGAAAAAAAACGGAAAAAAGAAATTATAAGAGCCTTATGAAGGTGTATAAATTTAACAGTCAAATCTGTGCATGAAACGCATTACAATCAGTACAATACAATAAAACTCCCTACACTTTTAGTTTAAACTGTAAAGAATTCTAACCTACATTACAATAAACTACTTCAGCCGGTACAATGAGGTTGGTCACCAAGGCAATTACATTATCGCCAAAGCAGCGTGCAAAAAAAAATTTTAATACTGCAATATTTGAAGCTTTACCGTTGCATGTTTGCATTGCAAACAAAATCTCGGCGTGAAACGCGTTTCTTAAAAATTTCGTGAGAAAGAATACCATTCAAGAGCCAACGTGCCGTGCAGTGGTTTTCTTTTGCATGGGGCGTCTATTTTATTTTTCGCAGTAACTTGCGTGGAGTTTTGTTTTATCTTCTTAAAAAATATTGAAATAATAAAGATTGTTTTGCTTAGTATCTTTAACCATGAAAAGCGACAGTTGCCGTATTTGCCCGATTAAAAACCGGTTACCTGTAAGTAGGACCTCATGCAAGAAATGGCAACAAAAATTACTATAGAATATAAAGAATAAACAAATAAAATGTGCCTGGCCCAGCCGGGCCAAATTTAAAACAAAAGCTAAAGGGATATAAAGGGTTATTAATCGAGAAAATACAGTAACCTTCTTGGAATGCCAGTACCAAATAAATTCTGGTGTTCTTTCAAATAAAACAGAAGTCGGCCCCTTACTGGAGTTGCTTGCGTTAATTTCAGCGCGAATAATCTCCACTCTTACGAATGTGGATTTCGTTTTCGGTGTCTCCTTACACACGAGTTTACAAAAAATGTCGTTCTAGTGAAATCAAAATGTTATTTCCTTTACATTAACTATCGACTGGGACCTCACTAGTGATTCATGAATAATCAGACTCCAGGTTTATAATTACTTCTGTCGTATTGTACATTAGGGACCGGTCATTATTTATCGCCTGGAGACGGAGG